TCTGAGGCACTGAGATGTATACATAAATTACAGGGCTCTGCTATGAATTTGTTATTTTGCTTTACATGTTGGCCTCCAAAACCACTCTTAATGACAGAGACCCTTATCCACCATAAAATGAAAATTTAGGTTCTTCTTAATTGAGTTCCCTTCAGAATTAAGATGAGCCAGTGCATATTTAGAGTCTCTGTTGAACACAGTATAATAATACTTATTTCAGTATATTAAATTAGAGCATGTTTCTGTTCTAAAGATTCTATCTTGGGAAACATTATCTGAATCAGCTAACAACATTAGATGTTATAATTATGTATTATATTGTATTTATGATATAGTTATAAACAATTATAAAGTAAATTATTATAACTATTTGGAAATAATTACAAAGTAATGATTGTAATAATAACCTTGTAGTTATTTATATTTATTATATATTATATGATATTTTAATTTACCAGAAATAAACAAACAGGAAATTCAAAGTTATGCTCTGCATATTTCAGCTCAAAGAATATGCCAAGTTCAGCTGAAATGTGGAAATAGATCTATGGCCTTTGCTCATTATCCCAAGATTTAAGATTAGGTTTTCAGGTAGAGTGTCAGCTGCAAGCAGTTTGGTATTCAGAAATCACTGTATTCATCAACTTCTGTCTCTCTCCTGTATGTGAACTCCATTTACTTCAGGAAATACTTTTTTATTTTGTTTTTCCTTCCTGTAATGAGTTTCTATTTAAAAGCCCAACTCATCCTTGTCTAACCTCAATTAGACTATCTTTTTTCCCTTTTGTTCCTAATGCAGAGGCATTTCTCTCTTAGACTGGTCTGGTCCCCTCCAGCATACATTGTTAATATTAATTTATTTTTCTTATACTTAGTATTCAGACCAATGATTCTATTCTGGAACAATGATAAAAGCCAGTAAAAGGAAATGTAGAATCCTGGTTTTGGTCTCAGAATGACATTTCTTTCTTCAGAATACTTTTGCAATTAATTTTATTTCTAGACATCAGGCTTTCCTCCTTTCTTCTTTTATTTATAAAGCAATAGAGCTATTTCAATAATCTTCTGATGAAGTGATAGTTCTAGGAACGTATTGTAAGAGGAAAATTAGTGGGGTCTTTCAGAACTTGGGCTGAGAGGGAGAGGCCTTTTTTCATCTCCCAGCTCAGTAGATCCTATCTTCAACCTTATTTTTGATTTGTGATTCAGGAAACCTTGATTGATTCACCGGCACATTTTGAGCTGATTTAATTTGAAATGTTAATTTCTGGAAATGTTAGAACACTTTAAAGAGCACCTGAATGATGGCATAACTGAAAGTCATAAAATAAGAAGTTCCACATTTACAGAAGAAATTAGATCTTATTCTAATTTCACACCTTTTAAATTGTAAGTGTTAGAGCAAGAAAATGTGTGACTGGAGATATTTTCAATTATAATGGAAGGAACGGGGGCTATTCAGTTTTACTATTTCATTTGGAGAATCAAAGTCATATCTCCCTTCCATGTACATTGCCTCCTACCTGCTCAGCCCTGGAAGAAACTTACACCGCTTTGTATGGCCTTACTCCAGTTTTGGGTTGCATGCATGTATCCCAGTCAGATGTTTTTACCAAGTGCTTTTGTTTTGCTATGTAAATTCACAGAATCACTGAATCAATTAGGGTGGAAGAGACTTCTGAGATCATGGAGTCCAACCTGTGACCCAACACCACCATGTTCAACTAGACCACAGCACAGAGTGACACACGCAGTCTTCCCTTAAACACCTCCAGGGAGGGTGGCACCCCCATATTCCTGGGCAGCCCATTCTAATGTCTGATTGCCCTTTCTGTGAAGACATTCTTCCTAACATCCAACCTAAACCTCCCCTTAGTTCCTTAAGACTATATTCTTGTCTCCTGTTCCTGGCTGCCTTGGAGAAGCGGCTGAACCCCACTTGGCTACAACCTCCTTTTAGGGAGCTGTAGAGAGCAATAAAGCTTACCCTGAGACTCCTTTTCTTCAGGCTAAACAACCCCAGCTCCCTCAGATGCTCATCAGACTTGTACTCCAGACCCTTTACCAACCCTTGGTTGCACTTCTCTGGACACACCCCAGCACCTCAAAGTCCTTCCTGAGCTGAGAGGCCCAGAACTGGGCACAGGACGCAAGGGGTGGTCTCACCAGTGCCGAGTACAGAGGGACAATCACTGCCCTGCTCCTGCTGGCTACACTACTCCTGACACAGACCAGGGGCCATTGGCCTCCTTGACCACCAGGGCACACTGCTGGCTCATGTCCAGTACCCTCAGATCCCTTTCTGCCTGGGCACTGTCCAGCCACACCGTCCCCAGCCTGTGGCAGTGCAAGGGGTTGTTGTGGCCAAAATGCAGGACTTGGCACTTGGACTTATACTATTGGACTTCATACTATTCAATTCTGCCCATCTGTCCAGCCTGTCCAGGTCTCTCTGCAGAGCCCTCCTACCCTCCAGCAGATTGACACTAATGACCAACTTGGTGTTGTCTGTGAATTTGCTGATGGCAGATTCAATCCCCTCCTCCAGATCATCACTGAAGATATTAAAGAATACTGATCCCTGGGGAACACCACTAATGATTGGATGCCAACTGGATGCACCACCACCACCACTCTCTGGGTCTGGCCAACCAGAGAGTTCTTAACCCAGTGAAGAGTGCACCAAGATGTGGCTTGCCAGCTTTTCCAGGAGTATGCCATGGAAGATGATTCCAAATGATTTTTCCTTTTATATATTGTTCATATATATTCATAGCTCTGTAGACTGTTATTATATAGTAATACAGTTACCTAACTTCAGTATTTTTCCTACTAGACAAATCCTGAGGACCTTCTAATCTTGCTTTCTAAGGAACTGAAGGTCAAGGCACCTCCCCAAGACACTTTCCCATAAACAATTAGCAACGAAGGTGGGCCTTGATCCGAGAGGGGGAATTACTTCATCACCTGTATTTCTAACTGGGGACTCTTGTCAATTATGCTAATTTGCTAAACTTATTAAAGCCTACATGTCCTATATCATGTGTGCATCTTTGGAACATTTTCAGTGAGAATTTCTGCATGTTGTGCAGCTGGAGGGACCTTCATTAAAATCATAACCACATTTTATCACCTAACTTTGTTTGGCTCTTGATTTTAGGGCTCAAAATGCAACAAAGATGGTAGAAAAGGTGTCACATTGATATAAGTTTAAAGGTTTAGTTGATCAAAATACTTCATTCTTCAATATACATACTAGATCTCTTGAGATCTGGGAGTTTTATTCCTTGTTAAATTACCAAGTTTTTGTTATCTGTGAAGGATGGGTAAAAACAACTGGTAAACTGTTTACATCATCAGGTACACCAATGCTTGTTTTAGTTTGAAGGCCTGCAAGGGTCCCTCCTTGGCTAAATTACAGGTGAGTAACTTTTTAGGGAAAAGAAGTGACTAAATGTTGAAGTGGAATACTAAGGATGTCATTTTAGTTCTTCCTGGAGTGTATGTTTAAAGCAAACCTGTTGCTGATAGCTGCATCCCACGTGTGAGTTTGTGCTCCAGAGCAGCCCTAGTGTGCACAACCCAAGGTTCTTGTGGATGAAACCACTCAGGTGAAGTGTTGCTCTCCAGCCACTATGGGCAGGTGCAATGGAGGAAAGAATGGGAAGACTTTTCCTGTGGCTGGTGGAACCTATAGAAAGGTGATAGGGAACACAACTGAACACTGAAGAGGCCATGGAGCTTCTCCAGGCACCTGGATTTTCTGGATTAAAAGATTTTATATTATCAGTTCTGTACAGGAGGAGGAGGAAAATAGGTGCCCTGTTGTTTATTGAAGGAAAAGGAATGCCTTACATTTTAGCAAGTCTTCAGCAGGATTTGGACCACTTCAGACCACCTATACCATCCTCTAAGAGCCAAGCCTAAAATCATAACTAATTGTATGTGATGAGGCCTTCAAGTTTGTTTTGAAACACGTCTTAATTTTTACAAGTCCTAAGTACCTAGACAATCACATTGCCTTGAAATTAAAATCAGACCTTTAATTTGCCCTTTTTGTAAATAGGTAGTACTGTGCAAAACTGAAATATGGATGCTGAATGCAGAGTCATGGAGTGTTTTAGGCAGTGCCGTGGTCTTGGCAATTTTCATCATGTTAATTTAGGTGGGAAGTGACCAGTAACTACTGGTAGGTGAGGGAAACACTGCTAGTAGTGAGTAAGTACTAGTAGGTGAGGGAAAACTGCCCACAGACTAGGAATAAAGGGGGACAGTCAGAATTATGGTAGGAGTTTTACTCTGGGATGGGATCTGGCCTTTGCTGTAAGTGCCACCTGGTTAAATTGCTAAGGATTTACAGTGTTAGTGTTGGCTTTTCTGCTTGCTCTCAGATTTACTTTTACTGCTTTTGTTTGAAGCAGAGAAGTCTGACCAGCAGTTTCCTATATTTCAGTTATGCCAAGGTGATTTATAGCAGCTGAGGAATCTAACACAAAACTATTCCATGGAAAAACATTTGTCAGGTGCCCTGCAAGATCAGGTATTTTTATGCAGTTTTGGGTCATGTTTATTTTGCACGAATCTTACCACTTTTTAAATTAGTGTTTACTGTTTTAAGGCCAAGTGTACAATCCTATATTGGATGTATATCAAAGATGTAACTAATCAAACATATCACTGTGTTGTACACTGAAGAAATTATTTTAGTGCCTAAAGTCAAACACACTTCTGATTTTTCTTTTTTAATATCAATTGTTGAACACTATGTATTATAAATTTAGGCTTTAAATATTTATTCTGTTAACTGATTAAAATTATTTATTATCCTGGTGTTCTAAGAAACAGAAAACTAAAGACAAAAATATGTTTCAAATGTCGTGTGTGCACTACAAATTCTGTAATTATGGAAATAAAAAGTTGGCATCACTCTGATGATGGCTTAAAGAAAAATTGAGATGATATTTCATTAAACAACAGAGAGAAAAAATAGCACTTCAGAATTTTTGCAGTTAGGATGAAGAATTTATTGTATGTACAGTTAAGCAACTCTACTGTAGATGTAGTTCCTCTTTAAAGAAAATGAATACAGTAATCAAAATAGTTCTAGCATGGGAATTACAATACAGACTGAAACTTGACTAAACCAGAAATTAGTTAATTGACTTGAAAGAACACGGAACCTGAAACAACAAATCGCAGTTTGCATCATTAACCAAGGACAGTAAAAAACTGTACAAGCAACACGTTACAATAAGTTATGACAAATAAGGCAGTCTTTCTCATTTAGGACAAAAGGGATAAAGGAAAAGGTATTAAAATCTCATAAAACCACCATATCTCTTTTCCATCTCTGGGACTTCTTTGGAGTAAGTTTCCCCATCTTCTTCTGAAGGGAGAATGGAGTCGGCAAAGCGCTTAAGAAACCCACCATATCGTTTCTGGTAATCCAGCCACCACTCTGGCCTGCCCACTCTTCTCATGAAGCCACCGTATCTCTTTTGCAGCTCTTTGGCCTCATCTTCCAATTCAGGGCTGCGCTTTATGCTTCTCATGAAGCCTCCATACCTTTTGCTGACATCGCCGTCGTTTTCATTTACCTCTCGATAGTGCGCCGCTTCAGGGTTATCCCCTGTTCCTAGAAGCTCCTTCAGCAGATCAGAGGAGTTGGCAAGGGCATCGTCATCTGAGTCTTTCTTCATAAAGCCTCCATACCTCTTAGCCAGGGTTTCTCCTCCGTTAGCTTCATCCTCTGGTTCCGCTCGATAGAGCTCATCCATTTTCTTCATGAACCCCCCATATCTCTTCATGAAGCCTCCGTACTTCTTCGCAAGCAAATGGTTCTCATCCAGCTCTTTCTTGTCATCTGGAGCAATGTTGCCATCCTCAGAGACATCCAGCTTTGCCAGTTGCAAGAACTCCTTGCAGGTCTCCCAGGCTTTGGCAGAGGGCAGTTTTCCTTCACATTCTAGTGTACATGCCTGAAAAATGGATGTGGTTTACTGAGAATGATTTGATAGTAACTATCACCTCATGATGACTTTATCTTAGATTTACTTCTTTATAAAAGAGCATGAGTGAGCCTCTCTTTGTGACTGGCTTGGAAGAAATGCTCTTTGGGAACAGCTGATTTGGTACCTGTCTGTTTTGAAGTTCTTCATATCCCTCTCTGAAGGACAAGGTAGTCTCCACTCTAAGAGACAGACTACCAGATAAAATGAATTTTGGGTCTTCTATGTCAAGGTTGCCCCTATGTTTCTGTTTCAAAGAAGCCACAAGTACAGTTCTTGTGTCTCCCTTACACTTGTGTGAGTTATGGTTTATTTTTTTTTTAATTTCCTACCAGGAAGCTAAAAAACAATTGTGGTTTACTTCATAATTCAAGTGTAGAAGCATATTCAATCTTCATAATTAAAAGTATCATTCAGAAATTTTAGAAAATGAGTTGCACAGCATGGTATTGCAAAGAAGCCAGCTGTACTGTACTGTTCAGTATCTTCAATACACTGTATAGCTTTAAAGGCTGTGTGTTGCCATGAGTTTCTCTTCGTGGAACAGATCATTCTAACATGTACCAATAGAAATGTAGAAATACAGGCTCACTTAGGCAGGTTCAAAGTTACATTTTTGCTAGCTGGAAAGCAGTGACCATCAAAGAGAGAGGAAAAAAATCCTAAGCCATGTTTCTGACTGCGTTGAAAAATTGTCAGGCCACAACAAAAAAGCTTTCAGTACCTTATGCATATCTCAAAACCTGCGTTGTGATGATAGAAACACAGATATTAGCTATGATTATCTCTCTTGTGTCAGGGGAATTTACATCTTGTGCAGACATACCCTTCAGTTATAAAATAAAGTGATTCCAGTGTTTTTTCTTCTTGCCCGTGGTTTTCATACCACAATAGGTAAAGAAAAATCATCAATATTTTCAATAAGAGAAACACTCGTTCTGACTATAGATGACATGCTCTAAGGATCCTAACATACTTTAAAGTGTGAAATTAAACTCCAGTACAGCTCTCTCAGATAGCTAGCTCATTGTCCACTGCACAGCCTGTCTCTTGAGCCTCACTTTAGTCTGAGAAATTTAAATATGATATTTTTGGTATGATCAGAAAAGAAAAGAAAATTAAAGGGATTTATATATTTTGCAACACAATAATTTAACTGGCACTATGTGCTTATTACTATATATTACAGTCATGCTGTAAAGAGATTAAGATTTCAGCTTCAGTCTGGCTTTGGAATTGCTCTAAATCAAAGCATGAATAGGTCTCTCCCTTTCTCAGCTAGTTTTAATAACCTCCTCTTGTCAGAAGAACACAATCCCTAAGTGTGAGTGACCAGGTACAACTCCTCTCTTACAAATACAATGTGATAAATTCAGTTATTATATTACTAGATACTAATACCTAGAAACAATAGTTTCCAAGAATTGTTCATACATGTTTAACAAATACAAGGTATGCTACATTGCTTTTTCACCTAGTTAGCTAGCAAACATTGTTACAGGATGAGACTTTGATTCTTTAATGATTACTGAAGGTGTGCAAGAGAGACTGGCAATACAGACAGCAGAACATATACTCCAAAAAGCACAAATCCCTCTCTCTGTAAGGACAAAATACCACTTTTTTTACCCTAGTTGACATTAAAGCTAAGGTATGGTTGAAAGCTAGTGTTAGCAAAGGGAAAAACCAAAACCAAAACAAAACAAAGTAGAGGGAACTATTTTGCCAGCTGTCTAAAGAATATTGCCTTTCTGAGCCTGCAATGGCTAAGAGGTCTTGAGCTTTTGGATTAAGTAGAAGTACCTAGTAGTTACTAACTCTGTGTAAGGCTAAAGAGCCCAGTTTCTTCCTTTTGCATGCTCCCAAGTAACCAGTGACATGATAGCAACAAAACTTTTAAGATCATTTTAGATGTGCCGAGAGCATGATGCCTCAATGTGGGTGTATTTGAGGTCAGGAACAACCGATGCCACTGGCAAAGTGCTTGGCAGCCAGAGTTCTCACCTTCTTCAGGAAGGGCTGAGGGACCCCAGGCTTTCACTCATCCCGATCTTTAAATTTCAAGCTGAGTTGCCTCTGTGACTATTCTTTTAAATAGTTTCTACATCATGAAGTTTACAGATAATCCCCACCCCCCAGTGCTCTTCATTCCGGATTTAGCACGATTTGTCTTAGAAGCCTTAGTCTTTCACAGGCATATTCCTAACGCTGTGCAGCACCGTGCAGAGAGGAGAAGCAGCGAAGGTACTGCTACTCAAAGAGGCTTTAAACCCACTTTTTTTTTAGAGAGATTTCAGGCAGATCTTTTCAGCTCGACAGCCATCCTGCCCGGAGAGAGCTCATCTTACCATGGACAAGGGTCGGGACCCTCCCGGTCGGGACCCTCCCTCCCGTTCTGCTCGGCTTCCCCCCGTCCTGTCGGCGCTGGAATACCCGGCAGCGACCCCTCCTTCCCCAGAGATGCCCTCTCCGGTCGGATTTCTCTTCCTCCTTACGTTTTCACTCTGCCTTTTCCTTGTTCCCCGCGGGGCTGTTCCTTTGTCCCCATCCCCGGGGGTCGCCGCTCGCCGTCGGGCAGCGGGAGGCACGGGCGGGCTTGGGTGGCTCCTCGGGGCGCTCTGGGTTTGTATCAGCGCTCTCCGCCCGCTCCTCGCCCCCTCTGCCCAAACCAGCTTCTCCCTCTCTCCCCCCTTCACAAAAAGTGTCTTCCGAGCCACCCCCCGCCACTTCCCCCACCATTTATTTTTCTTATTCCGCTGCTTTTCCCCGTTCCCCCTTTCCTCCCTTCAGGAGGCGGTGCGGGGTCTGCGGGGGCTGAGGCGGCCCCGGTGCCGCTTACCAGGGGATGGATGCCGGCGCGGGGTCCCAGGCGGTAGGCGCAGGCGGCGCAGTCGCGGCCGCAGTCGGCCCGCGCCCTCGGGAGCAGGCAGGTGCTGAGGGCCAGCAGCGAGCAGCCGAGTCTCAGGAGCAACGCCATGGGGCTGCAAGAAGGACAGGTCAGCCGGCAGCCGCCTCCTCCCGCTCCCACCCCCGCCAAGGGCTCCCCCCAGCCGCCAAAAGGTTCAAACCAACTCCGCTAAGCTCACGCTTTTCAGAGCCGGGGTGATGGCGCTCGCCAGGTAAGCGGGAGCTTGAACTAAGCAGGCGTTTGGCAAGGCAACTGACCTTCGGAACAGGAGCGGACCCGGAGGATGAAGCACCCAGAAGGTCCCGTTTGGTGAAAGTGTTCGTCCCCAAACACTTTATCCCTCTCTGCCTGCAAAAGCCGGCACCACAGCGGGAGAAGAGACGCACCGCGGAGCGGCACGGACGGGATCCCGGGCCCTCCCGGGAAAGGGTTTCCCACCGGGACGCCCCGAGCTACCTCCCCGACGCCGAGCACCAGCCCCGGCAGAGCCGCCCCGGCCCTCCCTCTGTCCCGATCGCGGGCAGAGCAGCTCCCTCACTCACTCACACACACACGCTGCCCTCGGGGCTCCCGGGAGTTGCCGAGGAAGAAGCTGCGCCCTGTTGAAGCCTCGGCGTGGGAGCCACTATTACTTATAGCGAGACCGAGCAGCCTCCGGAGGAGCCCCGGGGGAGGCAGGCACAGCCGGGGCCTGCTGGCAGCTCCGGCGAGGGCGGCTCGGGGGGCGCCGAGCCGAGCCCGCTGCCGGGGCCGGGCGCGCCGCTGCGGAGCGTGTGCGGGCGGCGGCGGCGGCACTTTATAATTGGGGACCGCGGGGAGAAGGCGGCCTCCCCCAATCGCCGTCGGGCTCCCGCTGACGCGGCGACTACGACATCCCCCCCGGCACCACCGCCCCGCCGTCCGTGACTCCAGCGGGGCTTGGGATGAGGGGGTGTGTGTGTGTGTGTGCCCCTGCCATCGGGGAGGGGGGAGCGGGGAACCGGCCCCGAGAAAGTTACCGGGGGAAGTTTTCACCGGGGGCGGGCGGGGAATGAGACAGCGCTTGAGTCATGCGGGGGTGGGCGTGAGGGACGGGGAAAGGCGCCCCGAGGCTGGAGGGGTCCCCTCGGAGGTAACCCCACTCCCCGGGGCAGCGGACGCAGGTTCCCGCAAGAGCCTCGCACAACCCGGAGAGTGCGACTGGGTTTGGGAATTTTTGGTATGGGCTTTTTTTTTTGTTGGTTTTTTGTTTGGTTGGGTTTTTTGTTTGTTTTCAATTCTTTTTTCCTTCTTTGTTTCCTCCATCTCTGCCGCTTTGCCAACCCCCTCCAAACTGCTGATGCTGAGAGCTCTTGCTGCACATCTTCTGCCTCCCTTCCTGAGCCTCAGGTGTAAAACAGCGTGGGGGAAGCAGATTTTATTTGACCAAGGAAGAAGACAAGGGTTTTAATTTGAAACTATCAGAATTCACAACTATGAGCAGATTTGCATTGTTGCCACAATTTTGGTGCCCAGGAGAACACAAATAGGAAAGAACCAGAGAGAAGCAAACCTCTGAGCACTTCTATAAGCTTCTCAAGCACAGCAGTCAGGGCTGCTCACTGTTGTGCTCTGACTGACGTCTTGGTGAACAGGCATAAAGCAATGACACTGATCTCCAATACCTCTTGTTTGTAGAGGGCCCCAGCCATGCTCAGCTGCATTTCTTCAACTGTCATTTCTTCTACTTCCAGCCCCAAATTATTTCTAGCTGGTCTATATTATCTTGATTTTCTTCCAGCATTGTTCTTCAGTTGAAAGAGCATTTTCCCTCCTCCTGGTGTGTTTCTGGGATGGGGTTATTCTCTTTAGTCCTCATTTTGCTGAAGTGAACAAGCTGTGCTCTTCATCAGTCTGTCCTAAGATGTCATGTGAATGTTCTGCTCTGCATTTGCTATGGTTGGAGTTCATAATTTCTGTGCATGAGCGATGGGAACAGAACACAGTATGTCAGCTGAAATTTCATTAGAACAATAATGCGTAATTATGTTCCCTGGAGGAAGAAGACACCTCAATTTATACCTCCCCAGGTCTCATTTGCCTTTCCTGATGCTGCAGTACATTGATGTCACACAGCCACTGAGATACAACCAGATCTTTATCCTTTGGAAGCAAGAGGAAATCCAGTACTATTACTGTATGGAAACCTTGATTTTTTTTTGCCACCTTGTCCTTACATCAGCTATCAGACTGAGGTTAAGGAGTCTCAAATGTGGACTTTCAGTGTGGATTTTCAGAGATACATCCATTCAATCCAAAGGTGCTGCTCTTACCTGTAATCAGTGCATGTGAGAAGAGAATCAGGCTCTTTGTTTATGCAGTAGTATCAGTCAACTTTGTAAGTGAACCCTCAAGAGAAGAGGTAGACATTTTAAAAATCATCCCAGTGGGTATATTTATGTTAGCATGTTAGCATGTGAGGGATCTGCATTTGGAACAATGAGCAAATTGCTGTGCCACTGAATCAGCAGGATTGCTTTCAAGTTTGTTCCTGAGTTGGTTAGGGAAGCACTGACTAACTCCAGAAGTGACACATTTGATGTCTCTGTTGCTGTAAAGTTTCTCAGTACAAGCAGAGCTTTTTGTGATGTACATCATCAGAGTAGTCCTCTGGGTCACTTACTGACTCTCAGCTCTGCCATCATTTATTGGCTTGCACTCTAACAGTTAGCATGGTGTGACAGGACAGATAGCCCAATAGTGTTCCTCCAGCAGCATACATCCCATGTCCCTGGGCTGAGAGGGTGCAGCTTTCATCATTCTGCACACAAGCATCTGTGCTCAGCCAGCTCACTCAGCTCCTCAGCCTGCCATAGCCTTCAGTACTCTGTTTAATGTCACTCATTGTGCTTAATCTGTTCATGATGAAAACCAGCCAGTGTCAGAGTCTCACTGTGTACAGAGGTGCGGATAATCCTTCTGGGTAAAATACAGATTATACCAGGAAAATATAAAGGGTGAAGCAAGACTAAAGCATATAAAAGGACCAAATAAAAGGCTTGTAAATTCTGTGTAGAAGTGAACTAGTGAAGAAGGTTATTTTACTGTGCATAAACCTTTTGGCTGATGGTGGGAAAAAGGGATAAGATGGGAAGAGACCTAGTGCAAAATGCACATCTGCAAGGGCATTTTCAGCAAGTGAGAGAGAGAGCAGAGGTATCTGTGTACAGCCAGCACTGGGCAGAAGTCCAGCTGTGGCTGTTGCTGTACTAAGATATCCCTGACTCTTTGGTTCATCTGCTTCTCCCTCTCTGTCCTTTGCATCTTTAGTGGGTTCCTCTCTATCATTAGTCCTCATCCTACATCCTTATGGAGGTTGTAAGGGGTCCCCAGGGTCTGGCAGGATGGAGAGTGGGAAGAAGGTTCCAGCTGGACTCTTGTTTTACCCTTGCCTGCTACATAGAATCCTTTCCTTCCTCCTGAAAGATGCTAATATTCACAGAGGATGTGATGCAAGAAAGGAGTGATGTAGAAGATATTTCTTGAAGAGCTCACTTTTCCCAGTGTCAGCAGATGAAAGCTCTGTAATTCCATGTCTGAGTTCAGTTTTGTGTAGGGAAAGTATTCTTTGCACAGAGAAGATGAAACAAGGCGAGAATTTAGCAAATTTTGCCGAAATACTACAGAGCAAAAACTACATAAGGAAAATTACTCACTGTAGGCATGGAGGGTAATATTTCCTCTGCAATGGTGAACTGAGAAGCAAAGAAATAGGGAGGCAGAAAAAGAGAACACTTTTCACAGCAGTAAAGACAATAGCTTGTTGTTTACTACTAATGTTACAATAAAAATGTCCTGGTATTGACATAAAACTTTAGCATTTGTATAAACCAGAATTACCACGGACATCAAATGCTTTTTAATCTGCCATCAAAATATACCAGCCAAAAGAAAAGAGTTTTTACAATAGTAGTGCTTACAGCACCAGGGACTCCGTTTATCTAGCTCCCAAACTTAAGGTAGAATGAGGTGAAGCCAAGATGAAATCATCTTCATTTTACTGATCAAGAACACAGTCTAAATGAACTTCTGAAGTGTAGCATAAAATGAGCAGCGGAGTTAGAAATGAAAGCTCTCTTAGAATTCACATTGATATCTTTTCTGCAGGACCAGCTTTCCATTATAAATTATACTCATCATGCTAATCAAGCTGCTACGAAGTCATTAAATGAAAATGAATTAATATAAATATGAAATAAACATGCTTTTAGCACCTCAAGCAATCCTCCTCACAACACAAAGCCTTTATGATAGAATGAAGAACAGGAGATGTAGAGCAGCATGTTGATTATTTTCTTCAGCTCAGTGTAAAAGGTCACAGTATTTCTTAAGATCAAACAGTCGGGTTCCATTTAGCTCAGCCTAAACAGGCTAAATTTTTAATGGGAAAATACATAACTGGTATCAGAGCGAAGAAAGGCATTGCAGGTCAACTCTCTTATACCAAATATAATCAAAGCCATTAAAAGACATGAGTTATTGATCTGTGTATACAAGACATGCATTGTTACTTTTTAAATATCTTTATTAAATTATGTCCAGTGTAAGCAGAGAAGAGCTGTAATAGAGAGAGGTAGTCAATTACAGTTGATATGCATTACCTAAAATGTACCTTTACAGGACAGAGATGTTTCAGTGCTTCCCAGATATCTGCACATTCCTTAATAAATGTCTAGGTGTATCATTTTAAGATATGAAAAAATTAAGGAAGATCTCAATGATGCATACATTCCTGCTCAGAGCTGCTGAAGGCAATCTTATATGAAGAACTGGAATGCTAAACTTGCTGTTTCAGATGAAGATGGCTCTTATTAATAATATTTTTTACCTCTGAACAATTTACACCTCTTTTAGAAGGCAAAACCATGAACAGATCTGGTGATATTTTCACAGAAAGAGCACTGACAGCTACTGTCCCTGTCTAGTGGTTGATGCCATGTAGCTTTGTAAGGGGGGAGGAGGCTTCATTCTTCTTTATCTGGAGGAAATAAAGAGTGTGACACGCATTCAGTATAAGAATGCAGCAAATGCAATTATTAGTGCATTTATTTAGCTGGAATTGTATCAGACAAGTTAACCATGAAACAAAGAATTTTATACTGTTCTATGGAAATACATGGAGATTCACTTTATTACATGCTTCTCTGTTTCTCAGAGACAGATGAATTTGTGCACTCCAAGATTTCTGAGATCAGGCCTGAACTACAGTAAATAGAATGTGCTGCAGAGTGAATAGAAAAAACTGTAATAAAAAACACAAACCCTAAATGTATTTGTTATAAAAGCATTGTTTCTCTCATTTCCACAGAGGCCATTGGAGAGGTATTCCCAATCAAATAAGAAGAAAACAGGGTTCTCGGTAGCAGAATAAATTGTGATGGAATCCAGATACAGTGATTATTATTTAAAATAATAACTACTCCATGTAAGTGGAGTGATTTATCCTAATTTTTTCAATTAAGAAAACTTGTCCATGAATTACAAAGGAAGTATTAGACTCTATCTATGAAAAGGATTGCAGTGTCTAGTGCATATGTGGAAGGATTAGCTGAAAATTGTAAATGAGAGATTTTGATTACTTCAGTCATATTAAGAAAAGCAAAAAAACAGAAACTAAACAACGT